ACGAGAGCACTAGCTAGAAGAGCGAGGGCCACGACTGGAGATGAGGACGCAGGTTCACCAGGAGAGAAGGGGAAAAAGGAATGAGAACAATAGGGCCACAGCCTCCGCGCTTCACTATAAAGTCTCAAGAGCAATATAAATATTAGGGGAAGCAAGCAGGACATAAACGGGCTAGGAGAGAAGGAGAAAGAGAAAGGGCAGTCAAAAATCCTGAAAGACTACAAACAACATGCATAAAGCAAAAACTTCAAGGAAATTCTAGATGATGTTAAAATGTATGTTTCAGGCACATTTTAGCTCTCTCATTTAATAAAACAACTAAACACATCTAAAAACAGGCAAAACTAAACAATATAGTTTAGGGATGTGTAAATGATACAACTGTGAAGAAAAGCTAGGGAAGGAATAATACAGAATTCAGGCTAGTGAAAGCCTGTCGGAGAGGTATACGATAAGGCTCTGTATTTCTCTGGAATGGGTGTTTGATTCAATACTACTCTTTAAAGCGTGTAAACATATAACATGCATATGTTTTTATATGCATGATATATTTCATAATTAAAAAAAACTTCAGTGGTATTTTTCTACCTCCCAATTTCCCAGTTTGTTTTCCTACTGCTTGTTTTCCAAAATAATCTAACAAACTTGCTCATATAATTATATAAAATGATTAGCGAGCGTTTCTGGCCTCAGATTTTGTAACAAGAAGCTGCACCTCAGGTCTAGTGAATCAAAATCGCTGGGGGTTGGGCCACTGAATCCTTCAAAAAAAAGAATGAAACCAACACCCTAGGTGACTCACAAGAATCTAAAGAAACTCAAGTTTGAGTCTCCCACAGGAAGAGGTCTTCTTTCTGTTACAGCCCTAAAGCTTTGGAGAATCAAATACCATTCCTTCCCCAAGTTCTCTGGGATTTTGCTCCTGCCCTCTCTCTAGTATTTTCAAGCTTTCAACCTCAAGTCTCCCCTATCCTAATACACACACACACACATCAGCCAACTTGATCCTGCAGCCAACTCTAAACTCACTCTTTCCTTCTCTTTCACACTCAAAGTTTTCTAAAATGGCCCACAGTATGGCTCTATTTTTAACTTCCCAATATCACTCTCTCTTTTAAAACCATCATTGATTGAGCTGCAAACATATACTTCCAATTACCTACTAGACATTTCCCCTTTGCTCACCTGGCAAATCCTTATGCATTCTAATTTCAGCTCAAATATCACCTCCCAGGTAAAGCCCTGCAGCACCTCCCCCAAGCGCCCATCCACTCATCTATTAAACATTTCTGATACAGAATGCCTACCCTTACTTTTAAGACAAAGCCAAAAACTTTCCAAACAAACAAAAAAATTAAGATGTACGTAGTAAAGGTGGTCAAAAGGTACAAACTTCTAGGTATAAGATAAACAACGCCTGTGGATGTAATGTATGGCATGATGAGTATAGTTAACAACAGTGTATTGAAGAGCTGAAAGTTAAGAGAGTATATCTTAAAGGTCTCATCAGAAGAAAAAAAACCTTTCGAACTATGTGTGGTGATGGATGTTAACTAAACTTATTGTGGTAATCATTTCACAATACATACGTTTATCAAATCATTAGGCTGTGCTCCTGAAACTAATACAATGCTATATGTCAATTATATCTCAAATTAGAAAATGCATTCAGATGATATGATAATGTGTGACCAGGCTGGTCTTGTTTATTTACTTATATAGCACTTGTCCCTGAAAGAGTTTAAGCAAAAACAAAAACAAGCCAACCAAACCAAACGGTGGAGGTGGGCAGAGAAGGAGGAAGAGTGGAGGTGACCGGCACCAGGCGACAGGGACGGGTGGGGTTTGTTATCATCTTAAAAGAATGAACGAATAGGAGTTGCTCAGGTGAAAAAGTTCTGACCTAACCTGTCTTTTCACTTTAACTGGGAGTGGGGCTTTGGGGAGTGGAGCACAGTAAGAAAGGGTATTTCAGACAGAACACAACCAGGTTTGTGCTTTTCTGTGCCTAGCTGAAAGGCAGGAAAGGGGAGGGAGGGTTAGTGATGAGATTAAAATGGAAGGCAGACGCCAGAATTTTAGAAGCAACAATTATAGGTTTACTACAATTTTTCTCTCCCTCTATACTTTATAATTATCTGCTTATAATATTAGTCCAGGCTTGTTAAAATCTAATTTCCACTTTATATCTAGGTTTAAATGACACATTTTCCTAAACAATTTTTCAGGAACAAGACATTACCAATGAAAAATTGTAAAGCTATATTTTAACTACATTTGGCCATGCAGTAAGAAAATGAACATTTCAACAGTATCATGATCATGTAAAACATTTTAAAAGTCTCTTCTGTGAAAGAGGGAACTCTGGAAAGGAAAATGTGTGCGGTACTTCCACATTTGTCCTCATTTTAGCTCTCTACTGAGAGAAGAGAAGGCTAATAATGATTGCTTCATTATTATAAGGGAAGGCTAGGGAAAGGGAGAATCAGGAAAAACAGTGATTTCCTTCTTTCTAAAATGTATATTTTTCACACTATGACTTTTTTAAAAATCAGGATGGATTTCCCACTACTGATTACTGATCATTTTTTTGCGTGTGGGGAGGGCCACATTAAGTGGACCTTACAACTACGGATATACTTTGAATTAAGAAAACATAGTAAAGGATTTTGGCCAAAGTTAATGATAGTAGTAAGAAAGTGTCAGAATTGGACTAAAAAATTCTTCTGTCAAGTTATTAATATATATTAGTAGGAACATTATGGCCTGTTTGGCTGTTCTTTCATCAATTTAATTAAATGTATGGAGCCTACTGTCCATCTTCTACAGGCTCTTCCTGGAATACAAAACCATACAAAACACCTTTTCTGCCCTCAAGAGGTATATAATCAATTATAAATGTCTACAGAACAGTCAGGAATTAATATCAGAAGAACGATACAAAGTGGGATACATCCAGATAAGGAGTGGTGGTCACTTCCAGCCAGGATACCAGGAAGGCCTGACACATCAAAAGAACTTAATAAACATTGACTCTGAAAGATTACAAAAGACTCAAGTGAAACTTTGAGGAATGACAGAATTCCGACAGAGAGGCACTCCAAGCAGAGAGGGTAGCAGAGGCCAGGAAAAAGCACAGGGCCTCAATGGCAGGAGGAAAGTGGAGACTCGCGAATAATGGGAAAGAAGGCTAGAGAAGTTAAACACGGGCTAAAATATGGAGTTTCCTGAAGGTCAAACTAAAGAACGTGAACAGAGGAACAGCCTCCGAACAGCTGTGTTTGGGGAAGGTTAGTCTGACAGTCAACTATACCACCTGAGCTGGAGTGGGGTGAAAGTAAATGCTGTGGACAGTCCAGGGTCAACTGCTCAGTGCTGGAACTAGGTGGTAACGGTAGCAATGGCAAGAAAGAATGTCGTCCCTTTGAACCGCCAGGGGACTGTTTTTGCATGAGGGCAAATTCCAAAAGAAGGGAGCACCGCCTTGTGAATGTTTGTAGCCCCCCTACTCCCAGTACAATACTTTACCCACAGCAGATGCTTGGTAAGTCAGCTGAACGAAGGCAACCTGTGAAGGCTAATCTGAAGCGTCACTACTGCTTCACGTCCATCATCACTCTTCTCTCTACTTCTCAAACCCACTCATATAGCTGTTAACGTGAACTCCCTCTTCCAATCTCAGTGTTACAGCCTCAATCAAAATTTGCCAGTAGGCTTTAGAACCTCACTTCCTTCAAGTATGCCACAGCATTTAAAAAAGCATATAGGCACGCTATGAACATGTGCAAAACATTGCTTTATCCAGGATTTTACGCAGAAAACTATCCCGTTTCCACATGCACACCAAAAAGCCTTGCTGAAAGACTGTTTACAGCAGAAAGTTTTTCTTTTAGGCAGCAATCAACATGCTTCTTGTGCTACTTGTTCAATCTGCCATATCACTAGTGCAACCACAAGCTGCTGCTTACATTTCCAAAGTTGTGCAAAGGGTCCAAAGTTGTGCAAGAGTCATCACTGCAATCAGACTCCGGTATATTAATAGTTATAACACTTGAACAAGTCTTAGTTTTATTATCAGATTCAAAGTAATGCCAAGAAATCGCAGATATTAAAAATATTTTCAACGAGTTTGACTACTTTATCTGCGAAATACAATGGAATGTTATCTTCAGTGCAAATAACTGTATTTCTTTCTGCTTCGAATGGACATCAGGTCACCTGATAACTGGCAGTTGTGAGCCTGGATTTGATGTATCGAAAAAACCAAAGTGTCCCCAACACACACACACGCCAGCGCACACCAAGAGCGCTGAACGCCTTGCATTACTATCAAAGAACCTCAAGTTTACACGTGGCAGAAGTCGACAGAACTCCTTCATGCTTTAATGACCTCGAAAGGGATTCCCCAGGCGTCAAGTAACGGGATGTGACTTACTCTGACTTGGGAGTTGAGTGATAAAACTACATACCTATGTTACTACTATTATTATTTTTTAGAGGCTTCTGTCTGTCCTCAGCTGGCTGTCCCACGCCAGCAAGCGCTCTGCCCGGGCCTCGGCAGGTGCGCGTGGGTCAGGAAGCCCAAGGTCCTCCTCCCATCACCGTCTGCTCTCCTCGGCCCCGCTTTCCTCTCTCGGGGGCGGCGAAGAGGCCCAAGGCGAGGGGCCCGGGGCAGGGCGTGCGATCCTCAGAGCCAGGCTCTGACGGCCCCGGGCTGGGCCGGCCCTCCTCTCATACACTCCCCAGATCGCGCGTCGAAACGGCGGCCGCGGCCCCCAGCTGCAGGGCCGGGGCCGGGGCGGCGGGCCGGGCCGGCCAGGCAAGGCCGCGGCCGCTCGCAGTGCCCACGTCACCAGCTCCAGCACTGCGGAAATGGAGCGGCGCGGCCGGGGGGGGAGGCGCCCGGCGGCGGCAGCTCCCGCGCCGCGGCCAGACGCCGTTTGCCCCCCAGCCCCGGCCCGGAGGCCGCCGACCCCCGCCCGCCGCGCTCCGGGGCTCACCTGTGTCGCCGATGATAATGTACTTGAAAAGATAGGCGTACGCCATGGCCGCGGCCGCTCGGTGCCAGGGCACGCGGCTCCTCCTCCTGCTTCTGCTCCTCCTTCTCCGCGCCCCTCACCCCGGCGCCGCTCAGCCTCGAAACGCCAGGCCCCGCCCGCCGCAGCCGCCGCCGTCGTCGTCAGCCTCCGGGAGTGAGGGGTCGAGAGGAAGCGGGACAAATTGACACCCTCTGAGCCAAGGGAGACAGCGCCCAGCGGAGCCCAGCTGAACAATAACAGCCGCTGCGGCGCCTCCGCCCCGCCTCCGCGCCGACCCGGAAGTTCTGCGGCCGCCGGCGCCGCCGCCGGGGGAAAGGGGAGGAGCCCCGCACGCCGGCAGCGCCACGCCGGCCGGAGCCCCGCCCAGCCAGAGCCCCGCCCCGCCTCGCCTCGCCGGAGACCTCCGTGGTGCCGCGGCGGCCGCTGCCGTCTGCCCCGTCGGCCCAGAGCCCGGCGGGGCCGGGCGCTGGTCTTGCCGGCACCTTTGAGCGGCGGGCGCCGGCGGCCGGGAGACGCTGTGGCAGGGGAGGGGCCTTGCGGCTCCGTCGCCGCGACGCGAGCGGAGCCGCGTCCTTCCGCCCTGCGGTGGGGACGCGGGACACGTGGTGGGAAGGCGGAGGTCGCGTTCGGCGCAGGGCCTGCCCTGGGCTCGTGACAAGGTGTTCGAAAATGATGGAGCCTCTCGGGGCGGGGTTGGAGGGCGAGGCTGTATCTGTGGTGCGGGACGGGGCTTTGACAGGGAAAATGGAAGTGTTTGTAAATTCGAAACCCTAAGTTAGGGAATATGCGGTAAACCATGATATGCACCTGCGGTGGAATACTATGCGGTCTTAAAAAAAAAAGCCTGACTTAACGTTACGCAAAAACAAGGCACAGGACTCAGTGTATAGATATACATTTATGTTATATATATTATATATACAACTATCTTATATATAGTAAGTGATAAATTACATTTGTATGTTTATAAGCTATATTTTATTGTTATATAAATAACTTTTTTATTTTACCATTGTGTAGAAAAATGACAGGAATATACTTAAAGACCCATAGTACGTAGTCAATCTGAAAGGACACACCTGGGACCAGGGGAAGGAAGGGATGGGATTGGAGGGAAGATCTACTTTTCACTGAATTTTTCAAGGGCAGTTTGAAATTTTGCAGTGTTCATGAATAACCTATTGAAAAATGCACTTAAAGGAAAAAAATTAACTTTTTTGTTTATTCAACTAACACTTTAAGTACATACTATATTTCATGCACTGCTAGGCCCTGGAACTAAAGGCAGACACTGTTCTAAAGGAGCACACAGATTTTGGAAGAGGAGATGCAAGACAGAGTTAAAAGTGTCAGGATAGGTTATCTAGAGAAGATGATGTCTGACCCAGAAATATGAAGGAAGAGTTTGTCAAGAGGACAGAAGGTGGGGGAAGGGAACTGAAGTTTAGGCGCAAGAAACAATGTGCAAAGGTCCTGGATCTGTTCAGGGAATATGAAGTTGCATAAGGAAGCTTATTTGCTAACCCATAGCCTCTAATGTTGGCAGTGGAAGGAGAGCCATTGCTAGGGCAGAAGTGACTGGGGTTTAGTGGCTCTGGTTCCTGTTGCCTAATATTTTCCTCTCCCTTTTAGGATCTGTCATTCTACCGAAACCTTCATGCTGGGCTGGCAGTACTTCATTGCTACATGGTTTGAATGGCCTTTCCAAACGTCAACTCACAGGTTTGTGTTTGTTTGTTTGTTTTTACTGTTTGGAGGGGATTTTCAGAGACAGCACACAAAAATTTGATGTGAAAAATTACCAGGAATTGCATAATCTAGTTCACCCATCTTTAGTTTGGGGGTGGAGAAGTCCCTTCTTAGGCCTGCCATGTTCCAAAGGCCATTTTGTCCCTCCCATCTGAGTGCCTTCACTCAAGTCTTTCCTGGTGGTAGACATGTAGAAAGTTCCCTCCTTCCAGGAGAAACTCAATTTCTTACTACTCTCAGCGGTATGCCCTTTACACATAGCCCGAACAGGACAACTCTGTGGGGATGTTCCACGAAAGCCTAGCATCCTTACGATCAGAAGCATTCCCATACTGTTAGAGGAGAACTGTGGGAGAAGTCACTGGTGCCAGGTCATGCACGGGCTTGTTGCCATGTCAGGATGCATGCGGCACTTTACCCAGTGGACACGGAAACTGGGAAGAGAAAGGTCAGAACTGAATGTAAAAAATTATAGAAAAGGATACGTATAGAGCTTTAGAGGCAATGCAGTGTAAAGAGAACTTAGGAAACCTGCTTTTGATCTTGGTCTTACCACAAACTGGTTGGATGATTGTTGCAAATCTTTTGGCCTCCTAGAGCTTTGACACACTCATTGATAAAGCAACGGAGTTAAGTGTTACCTGAAAGGTCTATTCCAAGTCTGAAGTCCTTTAATTTTATGTCTATCCACCTCCAGATCTAAAGCACCTGTAAAGTAGGTGGTAATCTTTCTCTCATGAAAATGTCAGGGCCACAGGAGTCAAGTGTATATGGTTCTTGCACAGAACTGAGAGGTGTTAGTTATTGGTGCGCAGGAATTATAACAATCAGTGGCTTTGAAAAGAGCAAGGACTAGCTTTTCAAGTCCCTTGCTAAGCCTCGGTTTCCTTGTCTGGAAAATGTAGAGAATAACTGCCTCTCAAAGTCAATTTAGGATCAAATGAGATAATATATGTGAAGATATTTTGTAAATTATGAAAAACATATACTTAATGTGTGAAACCCTTAGTGCTGCATAATTTCTAAAAATTACCTCGAAGGAGTTAAGGCCTAATCACTATACAAATTCCTGTTTTAAAGTCAGCTCCTTTCCTGTCTCTATTTTATGTCTCAACGTTTATTTTTTTCTATGTGTAATTCATAATATTTTGTTATATTTTCTCTAAGACTATATGCTGTCTTAAATTCTCTTTGAAACAAGGTGTAAATAAAACCCACACAAACTTCATTTTAAACACTTTACGTAGCCCCCAAAATCCAAAGACATTTTTTCAAGAAAAACTCCTTAGGCAAAAATGACAGAAATAAAACTCTCTTCCCTTAAATTATAGGATACTTCGTGGGATTTTCCATTCTGTTCGATTTTCAGCTATTTCATTCCCTTGGGGACGAATTCTGATAACCTCATCTCTCAGTCTTACATCATATGTGGTCTGAAGGTCATAACTGTGAAATTTAAGGATTGTTTAAGGCTATATTCTCCAAGGTCTCCTTATTCAAGTTTTCCATGACATTTTAAAGTAGAGTATTATATTAGACTTTTGAATTTACTCTTCCCAACCAAACTTTTCATGTGTTTAAATTTTCTCAGGTTTTGATCACTCTCAGACTGTGGGAAGAGAGGTAGTGGGGGAATGGGATGGGAGAACAGTGGCTTGGAATACTGTAATGCATAGGTTCTTACTTTGGTTCCCATGGTTTCCTTAGCCAGCTCTCGAATGCACTCTGGGAGCCCTGTGATCCTCCAGAAATGATATGCACAATGTTGTATGGATTTGCATATATGTAATTTTATGGGAGAGATCCTCGCACGAGTCCATGACCCAGAAATAATTAAGAATCACTGTGAAATGCTTGCTTTAAGCCATTTCTAAACACCATGACAGAATTAATTTTCCTGCATATACTCATAAGCTCAGTACCAGTTCTGGAGGAAGAAAGAACTCCGTTCAACTCCTGAATTTACCCCCTGTCAGATGAGTGATCTTGGATAAATTACTAAACTCTCTAAGCCTTAGATTCCTCATGAGATGACACAAGTGTCTAGCAAAGTGTCAAGCTCTCAGGAGACACTAAGTAAACACTGAAGTCATTTCCCCCTTTCCTTCACCCTCTCCCTGTGTTCCACCTCCAACCTGTCACTAAGAACTGTAGGAGTTAAATGAGCCCAACAAAGACGCCCCATTAAAGGAGATTAGAGTCTCTCTCATGTTAAGTCATGGGTAGTCATTGTAATACATAATGAAATAATTATACAACTCACCATAATGCAGAATCAGTGGGAGCCCTGAGCTTCTTTTCCTGCAACTAGATGGTCCCATCTGGGGTGATGGGAGACAGTGACACCCGAAGTGTGTTGCTTGTGTCCACTCTACTCTGTAACAATCAGCTTAATTGTCACTTGCCACTCACTAATAGGGTTTTGCTATGTCTGCAAGCAATTGATTTACTATGGTCTCTGTGCAGTCAAACCTCTCTGCTAATGATAACCTGTATATGTAGCTGCTCCCCAGCAGAAGCGGAAGGAGAGCCATCTAAGCTGAGCCTTAAAGGGCCTTATCTTTCAGTTATTGCTTTACTAGTCATTCCAGATGTTTCAGCAGCCCTCTCCACTGTACTTTGTTCACCTTATCCACCTCATCTGCCATTTATGTTCTTGTTGGGTAACACACTTAGTATTCCCTTTCTTACTTTTCTACTCATGACTGATTTCTGACCACTTGTCAAAGCCAGAAATGACTGGTTTCTCTCTTCCATTGCATTCTTTTTTCTTTTTTTAAACACCTTTATTGGAGTATAATTGCTTTATATTTCCATTCCATTCTGCTCATCCTTCAGAAGTTTACCTGAAGGGTCAAAATGGAATGATTGCAAATTCACATCCTGAGTCAATGTGTGTGTAGGTGAGTGAAGAAACTTTCTTTCATATGTAGGTTAGTTTTGTTATTGATGGACTTACTATTCATAACAAAGGGGCCTACATAAGTGCACAAATGAGAGAAACAGTGAATATTGGTATAATAATAAGCTCATTTTATAAAATCGTGGATTAAAAAAATATAGCTACATAATGATTAATAACAAATTTAAAAATGAGTTAAAAACCAAAATAGTGTTCTTAAACTACCTACTTTTCTCAGTCCTTAACAGTTGCCTAGTGCTTTCCACAGAGAGAGTGGTCTGGGGAATGGCCCAATATTGGATTCCAGGAGGCCTGAATTACAGTCTGTCTTGCCACCAACAAGCTGACCTTGAGAATTTTTGTCATATACTCAATAGAGATGATAATTCCAGTTGCTAATAGAATCACTGGGAGGTAGATATGAGAGCACTCTGAAAAGTACATTATTACTAGGAGAGAGTGTATATACCAAATTGCAGGTGAATGATTTTCTTGAATGTATCTAGGTATATTAGAAGACTGACCCCCATAGAACTGTATAACGTCGGTAATATTTTACTATCTGCATTGTTGGGTTTTTGTCAGCAAAGACTGGACCATGCAATCTTCACACCC